GACGGGGACGGTGGGCGTCGCAAAAGCTGAAGGGCGTGCGCGTGCAGGAGGTCTGGTGAGTTGCTGTCACACGTGTCGCTGTCGACAACGACGGCAGGCGAAGAATCGTGCTCGGGGCCCGTCCAGCTGCTCCATGTTTCTGGCAGGCCTGCGCCTGCTCCAGCATAAAGATGTCCTTGCGGCATATCCAGTACTGGAGGTCGGTGCACACGGTGACCAGCGACGAAATCCACGCGGGACGCCACCTGCCTTCTGTCCTCGACGCACTGCGCAGCCATCGCATGGTCGCCCCTATCTTCGCGCTCCACAAGTGGGACTTCTGCACTGTCGTCGTCGATCGCGCCCGACGCAAGCACAAGGACGTCCACGCGGAGGGGGGGAGAGGGGGGGGGGGGGTTGGTGGGGGCAGTGCTCTGGAGGAAATTCACATCGGCCCTTGGTGTTGTATGGACGCGCGCCCGTGCAAGCGTGGAAGGGTCTGTACGCGCGACGGGGACGGTGGGCGTCGCAAAAGCTGAAGGGCGTGCGCGTGCAGGAGGTCTGGTGAGTTGCTGTCACACGTGTCGTTGTCGACAACGACGGCCGACGAAGAATCGTGCTCGGGGCCCGTCCAGCTGCTCCATGTTTCTGGCGGGCCTGCGCCTGCTCCAGCATAAAGCTGTCCTTGCAGCATATCCAGTACTGGAGGTCGGTGCACACAGTGACCAGCGACGAAATCCACGCGGGACGCCACCTGCCTTCTGTCCTCGACGCACCGCGCAGCCATCGCATGGTCGCCCCTGTCTTCGCGCTCCATGAGTGGGACTTCTGCACTGTCGTCGTCGATCGCGCCCGACGATCGTCTGGCAAGCACAAGGACGTCCACGCGGAGCAGACTGTCCTTATCGTCGCGGACAACTCTACGTCGTTCAGAGGTGTGACGTCATTCACCACCGAAGATCTTGTTCTTTCCGCGGAGCGCTCTCGCCAACCACTGCGACACTAGTGCACGGGAATCATGTCTACGCGAGGGGTCGGCCGTGGAAAGAAGCGGGAGAACGTCCCTGCTGACACCCAGAGGCGGTCAGGGGGTCGGCAGCATGTCCCCAAGTCGAAGAGGCTCCGTTCAGAAGAGCCATCACCAAAGGATCCTGTCCGACGAGGGCGGTATTGGGCGGCATCGAACGAAGACGAAGATGACGGCGTGTTCATGACAGAGGAGGAAGCAGCAGATGACACTGTGGCGGCACCCCGGGGCAGTAGTCTTCAAGCGAAGAATGATCAGGCCGCGGCGAGGAGATTGCCCACTCCCTCCCCGGAGGAGCAACAAGGTTGTGGGCAGAGCAACACGAAAGCTAAGGAGGTTGTAGTCGACGTCCGCGACGAGGACAATGAGCCATTGGGAAGCCGCAGGAAGCGAAATGCAATGCAAGGTGCCACGGCGACGGGAGTAAGGATACACGCCGCGCATGAAGAAAGGCCACCTCAGGGCGCCATGTCGTCCACGCCGTCACAGCCGCGACCGCGCAACACGGCTGCAGATGGAGGGTCTACCGAACGCGGGGGAGGTGAGGTGGCCCAGCAAGAAGCGTGCGTGGCGAGCGCTGGTGCAGGCGCGGGGTCCTCGGGCAATGTCGCTGTCGTGGCGGGGGCGAGAGAGGAGGTTCTTGTTGTGGAGCGAGAGGTTGAGCGCGGCGAGAATAAGGGCAAAAAAGAGGACGACGACCCCCTTTTAAGCCGGGAGCGGAGGGGAGGGTTGGCGAGAGATCTTGCCGACCGTACCCGCCTGTGGGTCGACGACAAAGCGTTTTGGACAACGGGGGAGGGGCGCCGGCTCTACGACATCGTCCACCGAACGTGGAAGCACTTCGAGGCCATCGCTAGCGGGGTGCAAGCGCCCGTCGTGTCCAGGAGCATCGTCATGCCGAAATCTGCGACGACCCTCACGAGGATTGTTGATCCCGCTCAACTACAGCAAGCGATCATCCGCGGGGGGGCTGCAGAGAACATAGCTCTGCGCGTCTTGCACGGGTGGGTGTTCAAGTCAGGGAACCGCCCCCGCGGATACAATCTCGCTTTCCGACCTCAATATAGACTTGCCACTGTGGTTTGCGGGGGTGAACATCGACGACAGGCCGGAGGACGATGACATGACTGCGTACCAGGAGTCGACCGTCATGTGCGTCGCACATGCATTTCGCGCCGCCGTGCAAATGGGTGGCAGCGTCGACGGCGGGTTCATATCGCACGATCGACTGTCGAGGATCGCGGATTGCTTTAGGCTGTTGTTGGATGCCTGCATGTGGTTGATGCGCATGGCGGGAGACAATCATCGTAGCCACTACGAAGCCTTCTACTTCGCGCAGCTGGTCGCGAAGCCCACGCTGATCGCGTCCATGCATCGCGCCTTCGATCATCGAAGGTCCGTCATCCGAGCGACGAACGTCGTCACGGAGACACTGGGGAAGGCGAACGCCACCTTAGGAGAGTACCCATTCTGCACGAGCACAGCGTGTCTGTCGTGCGTGTAGACGCCCTCCGTTTTCGGCTGTCCACTCTGGCAGGGTGGTAGATGCAACTTCGCTCGTCGGTGTCCTTGCTTGTTCATTTAGTTTGGCGGTTCGCAGTGTTCATGCGACGGTGCGAGGCGTTGTCTGCAGTAGATTGTAGGAGTGGATTAAAGTTAGGTTTCCGCGATGTTGTTTCCTTGTCGGCGCAGCATGCGTCATGTACATTCATAACGCGCTGGAAGCGCACCTTTTTTTCTTCATTTCTTCGATTCGGGACGGATGTTTCGTATGTTTGCAGTGTGTGATTGCTCTCTTTCCTAACCTGACGGTCCATGTAGTGCTCGATGCACATTCACACATCTCATCTTCATTTGCACGAGCCATTTTCGATCGTCGCTTCGAAGACCTTTTTTTTTTTTTTTTTTCTTTTTTTTTTTTTTTTTTTTTTTTTTGTGTTCGCATTCTAGAATCATCCCAGTGGCATACAGTGCATGTGTTCGTGTTGCACTCATCAATCGAGGGAATACTTGGCCACAAAACATCAAACGAATCACAAATGCCAACGCACGACCTTCACGCAATGAAACAGGCGCACACCGAATGCGAACACACAATGGAAATGAGCGAAAACGACTGTCCAAAGTACTTCCAACGTCGCAGAAGAAATCACAGCACTACAAAACTCTTTTTCGAAACCGAGATGGGGGGAAAGTTTCATGCCCACCCGAATGAACACCTTACCTCTAACCTCTAAATGCGCTAACTCTTCTCGAAAAAGGTGCACCTCACACCCGCAATGAGCATGTTCCGCACTACTCCTGATGAACGGCATCCAAAAAAAAAAATTGAACATAAAAAAAAAAGGGAACGCGACGCATATCCGTGGATTGCGAAGGCCAACCAAACACAATCGTCGACGCAAGCCGCCGACCACGACGCCTAACAGGGCTAGCAACCAAGCCAACGGCCGACGAGACCGCGATTCTGCCCTCCGGCCATTGCACCAAGATCGCACTTCCACGCGCTGCCTTCCACCATCCGAATAACGACCCTCCACAGAAACCACCAACCCCGTCGGGGTACAGACGACAGCGACCCAATCAAGGGAGGACGGAAAGACCAATCTGGTGTCCGCCCATTGTTGCAATTAAGCCATCTTCATGTGCTGTCGTCCATGAATGATACACGACTCATTCATGTTTCATTCGTTCCGCCAAAGCATGCCTCAAGGCTAAGGCTTCGTGGGTCAACATCAACATCGACACAAGCTGGAGGGGCTCGTCGATCCCCAGGTCCACTCGTCGTCGCACACCATTACTGTCGACCTCCCACAGCAGATTCTCATCGAAGAGGATCCCCGCGTCGATCAGTAAGTTGTGCAGTTTGCAGACGGCGGTGAACTGCTGCGAGAGCGTCTCCAGGTTTGTCTTGTGTGTTCGGAGAAACAGCCGCCACATGCCCTTCAGCCTGCCGAACGCCCTCTCCACCGCTCCCCTTGCCACCTTCTGCTTGTTGTCAAACCGCTCCTGCTCGACGCTCTGATTGATACCGCCGTACGGGACAACCATCCATTCGGCAGGGGGGTACCAATTGTCCGCCAGAAGGTAACTGTTCGTCTTCACACCGAACGGCAGTGTGACGGGGGGCCCGCGGAACAACGACCCCTCCTCTGCGCGCAGCGACAGGCTGGACAACTGCAGCACCCTGATGTCGTGGCAGCTACCGGGGTATCCCATGTGCACGTCCAACACATGCAAGTCCAAGTTGACAACGACCTGCGAGACGATGGAGAAACGGCGCTTCCTGTCGTAGTAATTTTCGCTCGGAGCATTCGCTGGCTTGTCGACGTAGATGTGAGTGCAATCAATGCAACCGTGGCAGTTGGGGAAGCCTTTATCAACGAACGCCCGAAGAACGACTTGTTTACGAACTCCCGTCGGCCACGCTATCTTATCGCCGAACACCCTCAGCAGAGTGGCAGTCATGTCGTGGACGACAATCAGCCTAGAAGCTCGTCCGATCCCGAAGTTGCACGTGCTGCTCTGATACGTCTCACCTGAAGCCCACCTGTACAGTGCGTACGCCACAATCTGGTCCGGCTGCAAAGGCTCCCTATAGAACGTCACCTGCCGCTGAAGATGAGGCACACACACCTCCGCGATCTCCTGGAACACTTGCGGCGACATTCACAGCTTATCGCGGAAGTAGTCGTCAGTCGCGTCGTCGCATAGCCTGAGGTCTTCCCACGTTCCCCCTGTCCTGCGCTTCACCCACCACCGCGGCGTCGCGCAGGGTATCACTCCGCAGCCCAACACATAGCACAGTTGAACAACAGCTTCCGACGTCGCCACGAACTCGGCACCATCGTGCGGATCTTGCATCAATGTCCTCCGTCTACGCGCGCACAAATGCTCCTTCAGTCGCCCAAGCGCCCTCTCCTGCTGACATCGAAGAACGATCGTCGACACGGCCGCCGCCACCGCCTGCAGCTCACCATGACTCAGCACATCACGTCACGCCGCGGCGCCGCCCTCCATAGCCCGTCGTTCCGCTGCCGTCTGTCTCGTCCTCCTGCGCTGGACGACGGTCCCGAAGACGTCCGTGGAGAAGATGGCCCCTTTTCTCCGCTCACAACCCCGCGCACGGACGCGAAGAGCAACGCGCAGAAGGTCCACGGTGATGGAAGCACAACACGCTGCGGGAGCAGATGAGGGAGCCCTCTGGACGTGGCCTCCGCCGCCCCCGGGCCCTTTTCCGCAGCACGACGCCGTCGTCCCGCCAGCCACACGTCGTCGTCGCTGTCGAAGCTGGCATTCGAAATTTGAATTTCGAATGCCCACGCTCTCGGGTTTAAATTTCTCCTCGCGCCGCCCGCAGACTGCCGTTTCCCGCCTCGCGTCGCTGGACCGCGCAGCCTCCACACGGACAAAGAAGCTGGACCAAGGACGACAGACCCCGCGGCCGCTAATTTGCGTATGAAAACGGCCGCGGGGAAGCCACAAGGAAACACCCTCGGGGGATGGCCCCAAGGATGAGTGTAACGACGCCGCAATTTCCCCTTCAAAACCACAAGGACGTTTCCTTGTGGCTCAAGGAAACCGTAAGGAGTGTCTAACGAGGCCCAGAGGCCGGGAAAACCTCTACAAACAACCCGGAGAAAAACTGGGGCCATTACCCAGCTTAGGCTCATGCTGGAAACCGGGTCCAGCGTCCCTGAATCTTTCCATCTAACTACTCTTCCAAAATAGACTTGAAGCTCAGAACATTGAACTTGAGCCCACCGCTCAGTAACTCTTGCGAACTTATCAAAACCCAATACAAGGATCTCTGACTACAGTGTCCTTCGTATCTCCAAACTCATTGTTACTACCTTACTACCTCACCGAAAGCCAAACACCTATCTACACCCCCCCCTGCAGGTGATGCTCCCCACCAATAGATGGAGCCTCTCCCCGCATGGTAGTGGTGGCTGCTCTTATCAACACCACTATCACCGGGGGGCCGCGCGGAATGTGCTTTAACGTAGCGGTGACAGCGGCAGTGGCGGTGCCCGGTCCCCGTCAGCGGCTGTGTAGGTTGCAGACTTGGGGCATGCGGACGCTGAATCTCTTTCAAGTGGCGCCTACCCTGCCAGGCACCATAGCTGTGTGAGAGCTATGGCGACAGTGCCCTGGYGTAGCCTAGCCCTTGAGTGGGTAGGGAGTGCCTTTGCACTCMTACGCCATGGCATCCTGGCAGCTCYTCATCGGACCTCCATACCAACACAYATACCCTACAGGACTTCGATACCAGAGGAGCCGCCTTCCCCTCAAGCCTTCTGSTGGAAAGGGGGGSCTCCTTTCTTACCATCCAAAAGCCGCGGGCGGTAGTTCACGATATATCATTTGGATTGCCTCGATTACCAGGGAAGCATGGAACACGGAGCGGCGTATCTGGACGYAGTGGGAGAGCGTGCGGTTGCGGTRGCAACGCTCCGGCAGGTCCAAGGGCTTCAGCAAGTCTCGATCAACTCATCCTCGTCGCAAGGCAGTTTACTGTTCTTCCTCATAGTGTTATGGTTAAGGATGATGGGAGGGCAACCCCGGGGTCTATTCCTCCCTCCTTCCTCCTTCCCAGTTGTTACTCACTTTGATTGTGTTTTTTATTCGATTCGTGATAGATGTTCCATAGCATGGATTTGTAGCTTCCTGACGCATGTGGCCGTATGTTGTGTGTAGAGCATGGGACTTGTCACAACCCGGAAAGGGAGAGGCGGACAACGTTGATGATAGGGAAACACTGTGGAGTTCCGTCTGTTTCTATTTTCTGTTTTTGTGATAGGGAAACACTGTGGAGTTCCGTCTGTTTCTATTTCTGTTTTTGTGTCGCAGACTCGTAGCTGTGCTGTATACGGAAAATAAGACTGCTCGAGGATAAAATGCGAGCATGTTTACCGTGTTTCTTGTGTACTATTCTGGTACAGTGGCCAACGGGCTTTTCTTAAGCCTGTTCTGTCAGAGCCGGTGGGAGTCGCTTTGGGATTCGACAAGTACTCATGTTAGTCACAACAGGGTTTGATACCCAGATYTGTCCCYAAGGATTTTCAAGTTTTCTTCAGTGTGTCTCTGAGTTTGGCGCTGCCTTACAGATCTTTTGGGCCAGTCRGGCTTCGTACATGGCTGTTATAGTTGTAAAMTTATAGGTGTGGGTAGCAGTAGGTGCGCCATGCTTTTGTATTTTGCACTCTCATTTTTACAACGAAACGAAGGGCACGCACAACGTTTGACTCACTCTCACTTCGGTTCGTCATTTTTGATGGTCGTATGCAAGAGCAGAGGGTAACCATTTTTGCCCATTTATTGATGAAAGGGAGAAGAATCGTAACCATAGCTGTGGCAAAGCGCAGCCATAGCTGCAAAGAACGCAGGTGGTGCTGTACTGCTTCGTGTGCCGTTTGTTGCATCTTGTTCTGGGCTGATGGTTGCCCAGCGGGACATCACTTTGGTATGGTTTCGTCTGGATTTTAGCTGTGTTTGAATGAACGTTAATTTGTTGGAATAGCAGTTGAGCGTGCATGTTTGTTTTCACGAAGTGTGCTTTATCACTTGTCCTAGTATTGAATTCCCACGAAGGAATGAGACCCATAGTCCCTCGTTACTCTTAAGTGCTGGGGTGTGCTTGCAGTAGTTTAGGGTAATACTCACGGGGTAGGGATGCTATCAGAGACCCAGTAAAGAGCAAACTAGAGTTGTATCCGTTGGGTGCATGGTGGGAAACCCGTCTAGGCAACGGAGGCTCTTTATAGTATGTTGGATAGTGAGGTCGATAGGGTAACCCTAAATGTTCTCTTCGTCTCCCAGCTCTTAGTATTGGGATTGCTCCTTCAGTTTGACTTTCTGTTATCACCGGAATTGGAGTGTTGTAAAGCCCTGAAGCCGTGAGGGTGGCGGCGCCATTAGCGGGAGTGGGAGACTCACTAGTGGCGGTGGGAACGTTTCCCCGGGTGCGATGGGTGAAAACTTTTGCCTGTCAGTTCAGTTCAGCAGCTGGCTTTGGTATTGAATGCTCGCTTATGATCGAGTTTTATAGGCTCTCAATATTCTCAAAGTGTTGGGATATGTTTGCAGAAGTTTAGGGTGTCACTCACTGGGTAGGGATGTTTGGAGAGACCCGGTGAAGAGCAAACTAGAGTTGTATTCATTGGGTGCGTGGTGGGAAACCCGTCTAGGCAACAAAGGCTCTTTACAGCGTTTAGGATAAGTGAGGTTGGGAGTGCAACCCTAACGTTTATTCCTTCTTTCCAGCTGTTTATCGAGATCTCTTTTCTTAAATTGGTTAAGTCTCGGAAGTAGGTTTGGTTGTTTAAT